GAACCGCGGGGACCAGCGCGGCACCGGCGCGTTGGCTCGGCATGGCCTGCAGGGGGCGCAGCGGCCGCCGGAGCTGAGCGCTGTGCGGACCATGCTGAGCGCCTTAATGTACTGCTGGCCTGGATTTATTTTCTTTCCTTTTCCTTTTCCTTTTATTGTTTTGTCCGTCAGGTCACACCTGGAGGTGTTCAGGGACCCGAACCGGGCTCGGCCGCGTGCCAGGCAAGCACCTGAACCCATAGTGACCCTCCGGAGCCTGAGTTGGATTTTCCTTCTGTCTGAAATATTTTTAATTCTTGTAAATGAAGACTTTGCTATTAAATTGAAAGGGAAATCAGTCAGCACAAAATTCATAATAGTTTCCCTTCGGAGCTGAATAGGATAGGTGAGTAGGGAAAAAAAGCGTGATTTTTCTGCCCGGTGAAAACAGGGCTGCTTCTCCTTTTCTTTTTTTTTTTTGGGAACCGCAGCCTGTTCAGGTGGACTTCCCTGTTGTTTTTTTATTATTATTATTTTTCTTTTTGGACCACACCCATGATGCTCACGAGTTATTCCTGGCGGTGCTGGGGGGACCAATATGGGATGCTGGGAATCGAACCCGAGTCGGCTGTGTGCAAGGCAAACTGCCCTCTCCGCTGTACTATCGTTCTGGCCCCTTGTTTTTTGTTTCTATGTATTTTTTTTTTGTTTCTGTTTTGTTTTGGGGTCACATCCAGCAGCACACAGGGGACCGAGGATCAAATTTGGGAAGGCCTACTGCAAGGCAAGTGCCCTACCCATTGTATTATCCCTCAGGGCCAGGTTATTGGAACTTTTTTGTTTAAATGGATTCACTCCTGTCGCTTTCCTGACTCTGAAGGGAAAGTTTGCAAGATAGCAGGTCACAAGTTGGTGTTTGCTTTATGTTTTTATAGGTTTTCATCATTAGATTGATTTCTATTTTTTAAATTTAAGATTACTGCTATTCAGCGGTCGATTAAGCTGATTGAAGTAGGCATGAACTCTGCATTACTTTTATTTTTATTTTAAAATTTTAATTTTTCATAAACTTGTTCACAGTAATTGTTTACATTCAATATTTCGACACCAATCCCACTACCATTGCACCTTCTCATCATAACTGCTTTGAATCTTCCCACCAGCACCCAGCCTGCCTGTTAAGCAGATGCAAAATAAATTTATTTTGTATTGCCTGCCATGAATAGTATGAGGTGTCACGTGGTCACGAAAGTGGCTGCGCGCTCCTGGAATTCTAAAATTTTTATATATTTGGGGTCTGGAGTCGTCTCCGCAGCGTGCTGCTCTCTTTTGAGATTCATTTCTGAATCTCTGAATCATAGCCGTTAATGTGCTTAGTGGCGCCCAGAGGCAGTTCTTGAGCGTATCTGCCAGGGAACTGGAAGGCAGGGAGATGGGGGAAGTCACCCATCCCTGACTCTTTTATTCATTGGTCCTGCATACCTGGGTTTTTTCCACGCGTGGGGGACCTGGGACCAGCCTGTGAAGGTTAGCTGTTAAGTGTGGTGGCGATTGGGTTCTGGAGGTTTGCGGCTGCTGGGGACCATTTGGGACGGGGAGAGACACGCCTGCCCTCCTCCAAGGTACCCTGGTAAAACCAGCCTGGTGCGGGGTGGAGAGACATCTCTGTTCATGCTGCTCTTCTCCGAGATTCATTTGTGAGTCTCTGAATCCCGGCCATTAATGCACTTAAATGGCCTGCTTTTGATCTCTTTTGAGACTTATGGGTCTCTGAAGCAAGACCAATAAATGAGCTTGTATAGCTGAGCTGGAGGTGGTTTGTAGACAGGATTCCCATACACCTAACTTTTGGCTGTTGAATTTCTTGGGGAAACTTGGTCCCAAGCTGTTGGGATCTGGCCAGAGACACAGCGGCAATTTGGGGGGATCAGGAATCCTAGAGGCATGTGCAAGGCAAGTGCCTTACCCACTGTACTCTCTGTCTCTGGTCTCCCAAATTTTTTTGGGGGGGCGTCATAAGTCTTTTTTCTTAGACTTGTTTTTCTTATACTTGTTTTATACGTTGTTAAGCCTCACAATGGAGATGTTACTGGTGCTCGCTTGAGCAAATTGATGAACAATGGGAGGATAGTACTACAGTAAAAGGTAAAGGTAAAGGCCCTCCCGTTGATCGTCGATTTGCTCCAGCGGGCCCAGTAACGTCTCCATTGGAGACTTTGTTGTTACTGTGTCTGGCATATCGAATACTCTCGGTTTTCCACTTCCATTTGTATAAGAACTAATACATTTTCAGGCCAGAAAAGTTTATTGATGATAGAATATTTTTCTATGATAAATACCTTTATTGAATTAAAATAATATCCTCACAATTCAGTGAAAACTTTGCGAGTTATCAAGGGGAGAAGGGTGGTAGGATGGGAAGACTGGGCAGAGGGCCTTCTGGGGGGTGTGGATAGAAGGCACTGAAACTTTGGTGCGGGGCTGGAGAGATAGTAGAGCGGGTAGGGTGTTTGCCTTGCACGTGGCCGACCGGGGTTCGATTCCCAGCATTCCTTATGGTCCCCTGAGCACTGCCAGGAGTAACTCCTGAGTGCAGAGCCAGAGCCAGGAGTAACCCCTGTGCATCGCTGGTGTGACCCAAAAAGCAAAAAAAAAAAAAAAAAAAAAAAAATTCCTCACTTTTTAAAAAAATACATATTTATTTATTTTGTTTTGGGGTCACACTCAGTGGAGCTAGCTCAGGGGTTATTCCTGGCTCTGTGCTCAGGGATTACTTCTGGTGGGCCCAGGGAACTGTACGGGAAACCAGTGATGAAATCCAGTTCAGTCACATGCAAGGCAAATACCTTACCTGCTGTTATGGCTCCAGCTCCTACATTTTTAAACTTAAAGGCATATGTATTATTTTTCTTCTGGACTGACTTATCAGTACAGTGATTAGTAGTACAGTCTTGATCAATTTAACAATTATACAATTTGGGGCCAGAGAGATAGTACAATGAATAGGGTGCTTGCCTTTTAAACAGTCGACCTGGGTTCCATCCCTAGAACGCCATATGGTTCCCCAGGCACTGCTAGGAGTGATCCTTGAGCAGAGTCAGGAGTAAGCTAGCTCTGCTGGGCGTGACCCAAAAACAAGAAGAAAAAAGAACAATATATTATACAATTTAATCATTATTAAACAGAAAATTGTCAATTTTTGTTGATTTTGTTTGCTTGCTTTGGGGCTATACTCGGCAATGCTCAGAGGTTAGTCCTGCCTCTGTGCTCAGTAATTACTCCTGGCAATGCTCAGGGGTTATATGGGATGCTGGAAATCGAACACATGCAAGGCAAGTGCCCTACCCACTGTACTATGGATCCAGCCCCCACTGTATTCTGTACTGCCCAAAAGGCAGCCACTACTAACGTGTGGCTCCAAAGTCCCCCAGGTCACTGCGTTGCAGGGCCTGAGCAGCGCTGCACCCTTGACCCTGGCATTGAACTGCTAGGTGTTAGCTGAGAATGGTAGGGTTATCCCAAGCTGGTATATCCATCAGCTCCTATTTTAGTGCTCATACCTACATCACTGGCTTCCCTCATTACTAGGGGCTCAGTCTCTAGTATGTATGGCTTTAGTACCCTATTGGCTGTTTCTCTGGAAAACCCTAATACAGCAGCCCTCCTGTTAAATAATCTGAGACTATGTGTCGCAGCACAGTTCTGTCACTGTCACTGTCCTCCCATTGTTCATCGATTTGCTCGAGCGGGCCCAGTAACATCTCCATTGTGACAATTGTTACTGTGTTTTGGTACATCAAATACATCACGGGTAGCTTGCCAGGCTTTGCCGTGCACAGCACAGTTCTAGAGTTCTTATTGGAAAAGGGAGACATAGGAGGAACAGACAAGATTATAAATTTTGTTCTTTTTTTAAAAATTTTATTAGTGAAACACCATGAAGGATTATAAATTTCAGGAAGATACTACAGCAGGGAGGGCACTTGCCTTGCTGACCCAAGTTCGATCACTGGTAACAGCCTGTATGCGTCCCCTGAAAATGAAAGGAACCTTGTTTTTCTTTTAAGTATCTTTTACGCTTTTCTATTTCCTAGTTAGCTTTTAGTGTGTTAAATTCTCCATGAATCAATCTATCCACCCACCTCATTGCGGGCAAGATGAATTGATGAATGTTTAACAAACCAAGGACAACATTTTTCTGCCACTTCTGCACATTCACTTTGTGTAAGAGAAAGGTTAAGAATAAAGGTTTGTACCACAAGTTCTGAGTAATATTTGGTATATAATGAATGCTGAATTCAGGCTCAGGGATTCTCAAGTCACCTGGGCTTGGGAGTCCTCAGCACTGAGCTTTAATAAAATCTCTGGTCTATCTCTATCCAACTGAGTCTGGAGTGTGTGTGTTGAGTGACACAGCCTAACACCCTGCGTCCCACCAGGTATGATAATCCCTGAACACATAGCTAGGAATAAACCTTGAGCACGGCTAGATTTGATCCCCAAAATTCCTAACCTGAGCCAAACATAACTTTTTTTAAAAAGACCCCTATGATATTTTTATATCCATCTATTGGGTAAAAGAATGATGGGTGTGAGATATAGTATAACAGGTAAAGAGTTGGCCTTGCACCTGGCCAGTCCCTGGCTGGATTCAGGTACTTTATCTGGTCCCTGGAGTACCACCAAGAATGACCGCTAAGAGCAGAGCAAGGTGTAAATCCTGGTACAACCCAGTGTAGCCCAAAAACCAAACGCTTCTAAAAAAACGAATTAAGTGTGCAATAAAATTTAATAGCAATGACCTCTTAAAAGCACCTGTACTGCAAACCATAAAGTGAAAAATAAAAAGAAGAGAGAAAGAAGTAAAGTGCCTCCCATAAAAGGAGTCTCAGGTTAGGAGATGAACAAAACACTTATTTTTGCCAAGACCCACAAGAAGTTTTGTCACCAGCAGATAACTTAAGGCAAACAACCCCCACCCACATAACGTTAGGTTTTCTAATTTTGTACCAGCATAATACAGCCTTGTAGAAACAAGGCCTCAAAAAATTGAGTTAAGACTCAGAATTGTTTCTCTCCACGGAAATCTTTAGTAAAAGGCGAAAGATTTATACGATCTGAAGAGAAACCAGAGTATGCTGGCAGGTCGGCCTAGTTTATTTTTCAGGAGACAGCTACTCCTAGTTCACAGATGGTGACTATTTATTCTCGGCTATAATGCTTACAGAAATTTATCCAAGAAACTCAAACAATAATATTCGCATATTCATAAAAATTTATAAGAGAGAAAATAGTTTCTCAAATTTGGAAACAACGATAGTATTAGTAGTGTATGATGGGTATGCAAATGACCCGGAGGGGCTTTTAGGACTCCGGAAACAGCCGAAGCCGAAGGTGCCTTCGGGCTCTCAGGGAGGCTGCGCTCGGTCCCGGTTCCGTCGGCTCGATTAGAGAACTCAGGGCTGTCTGTTCGGTTTCTTTAAACAAAGGGATTTTCTCGTCGTCGTGGGCAGAGGGGTGCGGGACATGAAGACAGCGAAGTTCAGGATCGTGGTCATTTGTGTGGGGGAGGGTCCACAGCGGGTATCAGAGGTGTTGCCATTTCCCCTTTCTCGATTTTTTTGTTTGAGTTTGGGGGCCATACCCAGCAGTGCTGGGGGCTGTCCCTCAGGCATGAGCCCTTCCGCCCCCACTCCCTCCCGGCGGCGCTGCGGATTCGAACCCGGGTCTGCGGGGAGTGCAAGGCGAGAACCTTAAGCCCTGCACTTTCTCTCCCTTCCCCTTGTGGCTTTTCTTAGACTGTGATTGATGGAGGCACCAGAATTTCATTTGAATACGTTACAAATGATACTTATCACATATACTATTATTATTATTATTATTTGGGGGGATGTCACATCCGGCAGTGTTCAGGAACTACGCCCCTTGTTTTGTTTTTGGGTCACACCCAGCGATGCTCAGGGGTTACTCCTGGTTCTGCGCACAGGAACCACTTCTGGCAGTGCTCAGGGGGCCACATGGGATGCCAGGATCGAACCCAGGTTGCAAGGAAAACAATCCTTCCCCCTGTACTATCAGGTGGTCTATTTTTAATCTCTGGTATCTCATGGTCCCCTATGTCCCGAGGACCTCTGGGTATGACCCCCAAACCAACCAAATAACATCAAAACAAAACCACCCAAACACACAACTTGAAATTACAAGATAGGGCTTGGGGAGGGAGTGCGGTGGGTAGGGCACTTGCCTTGCACATAGCCTACCAGGGGTCGATTCCCGGCACCACACACGGGTTTCCCAGCGCTGCCCAGAGTGATCCCCGCCCGAGCACAGCGCCAGGAGCCCGTCCTATGACACCCGGGTGTGAGCTTGGGATCCACCCGGTCGGGTCCCGGCGGTGTCAGAGCCGCACACTGAGCCCAGCGTTCCGGGGATAAACGCTCCTGCCCGCAGGAAAGGCAGCAGAGACGCGCAAGCCCAGCCCGCGGCGCGGGGACAAAGGCGACTTCAAGGTCGCAAGCTAGGCTCAGCTCCCGCTCGCCCGTCCCGCAGACCCAAGGTGCGCGGTGACGCGGCCACTCCGGCCCGACTGCACCTCCTGGAACCCGGCGCGGAGGGCGGGGCGCGGGGCGGAGAGGGGCGCGGGGCGGGCGGGGCGGGCGGGGCGTGGGGCGGGGCGCGGGGCGGGGCGGGGAGCGGGGCTCGGGGAGGGGGCACCGGGAGGACCCGGGGCGGAGCGGGGCGGAGCGGGGCGGGGCGTGTGGGGGAGGAGCGGGTCGCGGGGCGGGGGTGGGCAGGGGAGCGGGGTGCGGGGAGGGGGGCGCCGGGAGGACCCGGGGCGGAGCGGGGCTGGGCGGGGGGGAGGAGCAAGGCGCGGGGCGGGGAGTGGGGCGCGGGGCGGGGCGGGGAGAGAGGCGCGGGGCGGGGCACGGGGCAGGGCGCCGGGAGCACCCGGGGCGGAGCGGGGCGGGGGGCGAGGTGCGGGGCGGGGCCCGTGGCGAGGAGGGGCGCAGGGCGGGCGGGACGCGGTGCGTGGGGCGGGGCGCTAGGCGGATGCGGCAAAGCTGGGAGCCGGGAGGACCCGGGGCGGAGCGGGGGCACGGGGCGGGACCCGGGGGCGGAGCGAGGGGCGGAGCGAGGGGCGGAGCGGGGCGGAGCGGGGCGGAGCGGGGCTCCGGGAGGACCCGGGGCGGAGCGGGGCGCGGGGCGGGTGCTGGGCGGAGCCGAACGGAGCTCCGGCTGCGCGGGGAGCGGGGTGCGCGCGCGGCCGGAGGACCCCCGCAGCAAGGCGCGGCGTGCGGCGTGCGGCTGCGGGGCTGGGGCACGCGGGGCTGGCGGCGGGCGCGCGGGGCTCCGGGACAGCCGGTCGAGCCCTGGGGCTTCGGCCGCGACACCTGGAGGCGGAACAGGAAGACGCGGGCAGCGCCGCGACCTCGCCGGGCGCGGGGCGGGGGCTGTGTCCGCGCACCCCCGGGGGAGCCTCGGCCGCGGCCCCTGCCTGGGACACCCCGTTGTCCTCTCATCCCATGTCATAGCCCCTCCCCTAGGCCTGGGCACCCCTGACCCCATTATCCCCCCAGCCCCACTCGGGCGCTGACCCGCGTCCCCGCCGGTCCCTCTCCTCGGCGGGTCCCCGGAGCCCCCGCAGGAACCGCCCGTCAGCGCCTCTGCTGGCCCCCCGACCCGCGTTCTAGTCCCGCCGCCGAGCTCCAGCCCCGGCCCGGAACCCGGCCCAGCCCCGCGCTTCCGCCGGGCCACGCGCCGGCACCAGCTGGGATGCAGCCCGCAGGCCTGGAGGCCGTCCGGGAGGCGGCGGGCCGCGACGTGCTGGCCGCGGACCTTCTGTGCAGCCTCTTCGCTTCGGCGCTGCAGAGCTACAAGCGCGACTCGGTTCTGCGGCCCTTCCCCGCGTCCTATGCCCGCCACGACAGCAAAGACTTCGAGGCCCTGGTGAGTGCGCGTCCGGGCGCTGCCCACCCCACGTGTCGACACGCCGGCCCCAGGCTTTGGCGTTCCCCGCCGGGCGTGGGGAAGGGTCCGGCGGGCGGTGGGGGGAGTGGGCGCCACGCCCGCCCGGCCGCGCTCCCGGGCCTTTGGGGGCGTCTTCCCCGTGCTAATGACCAGTGGCTCCGGGGTGAAGCAGGAGTTCGGGGAGCAGCGGCGGAAGGTGAGGACTTGAGCCAGCTGGTTCTGCGGACTAGGATGATTTTGGCTGACGAAAGATTGGCACTGAGTCGCCCAAACCACCCAGACCCCCATCTCTAGGGGAGGCGATGCACGGATGTGTAGCAGCCCAGTACTTAGAGTACACTGGTCATTTCTTTTTCCTTTTCTTTTTTGGTTTTGAACCACACCCGGCAGACCTTAGGGCTTGCTCCTGACTCTGTGCTCAGGGACCACTCCTTGCAGGGCTTGGGAGACCATCTGGGGTGCCAGGGATTGAGCCGGAGTCAGTTGCGGGCAAGACAAGTGCCCTGTCCTCTGTACGGTCTCTCCAGCCCTTTACACCGATCATTTCTGAGGTTCACAAGGCACAATTAACTAATTTTTCGGTTTTTGGGTCACATCCAGCAGTGCTTAGTGTTATTCCTGACTCTGTGCTCAGGAATGGCCCCTAGTGGTGCTCGGGGAGTGGTTGTGTGAGATGCTGGGGATTGAAGCCACCTCAGGTGCGTGCAAGGCAGATGCCTTTCCCTCTGTCCTCTCTCGCCAGTCCCTGCACTGGATATTCCTGATATTCACAAGGCAGTTAATTAATTGAATTTTTAGTTTTTGGATCACACCCAGCGATGCTCAGGGGTTACCCCTGGCCCTGCACTCCTGGTGGTGCTTGGGGAAATATATGGGATGCCTGAGTCAGGTGCATGCAAGTCAAGTGCCCTACCTGCTGTACTATTTCTCCAGATCCAAGTTGCTTAATTTAGCGATTTAGTGTCCACTCCCTAGCATTCCACATACCAGTTATCTTAGGTGGTTTTTTTTTTTCTTCCTTTTTTTTTTCCCCAGGGGGAGTGTATTACGGGATGGTGCTTAGGGTTCATTCTTGGCTCTCGTGCTTGGGGAACCCTATGAGATGCCAAAGTTTGAACCATGGTGTCTGCCTCATGCAAGGCAAGCATCTTGCCACCTGTACAGACATGTCTGTCCCGCCCACCTTTGTAATCCAAATTTTGGGACTACTTAGGGAAAAAAAATCTTAACCAGAATTGATTCTATAAGAAGGAAAAAATCAAAACAGCCTAATAATTTTTGTTTATTTGGTTGGGGGCCGCACCTGGCAATGCTCAGGGCTTCCGCTCGGCGGTGCTTAGGGGACCATATGGGATGCCTGAGATCGAACTCAGGCTGAACATGTGCAAGGCAGCGCCCTACCCACTGTACTATTGTTCTGGCCGTTATGTTTAGATTTATTTTTGTTTTGTTTTGATTTTGGGTCACACCTGGTGCTGCTCAGGTTTTACTCCAGGCTCTGTGCTCAGAGAATGCTCCTGGTGAGATTGGGGGACCATCTGGGGTGTTCCTGGGTTGGCTGCGGGCAAGGCAAATGCCCTACTACTCTGGTGCAGGTGTTTAGAATTCTGACAAGGTGGTCAGTGTTGGGTTTCCTCTTATCACACCCAGGGGCCGAGAGACAAGGTTTGACACTTTGCAATGCAGAAACTTAACGGGGGTGCTGGGATTCAAACCCAAGACCTCACGTATCCGTGCCAAGTGCTCTACCACCGAGCTACATCTCCAGCTGTTGGGATGTCCTGAGGTTCCTCAGGGCTTGGCCTTGCTACACAGGGGTTTCAGTATACAGAGTGGCCAGGGAAAGTGTTGAGTCGACTGACCCACTTTGCTTAGTTCTGCAAATCCACATGCTCAGTTTGGTGACATGGTGAGATCAGAGTGAGGTGAAGCTGCCTTCAGTGTTTTTTTTTTTCTTTTTGGGGTCACACCTGGTGATGCTCAGGGGTTACTCCTGGCTCATGCATTCAGGAATTACTCGATGGTGCTCGGGTATGCTGGGAATTGAACTGGGTCAGCTGCATGCAAGGCAAATGCCCTACCCGCTGTGCTATCGCTCCAGCCCCTTCAGTGTTTTTGGTGTGGTTGTAGGGTTCACTTGCAGGGGTGTTGGGGGTCCAGCCACCAGGACCTCGCTATAGGTGCTAGGGATGGAGCGAAGGCCCTTCCACAATCAAAGCTAGCTCTAACACATAAGGTAAGTCCCCATCTGCCGGTTGCAGACAGACCTGCAGAAGCCCTGTGGGTTATAGAGCCGGGGGAGGTGGAGAGTGTCCAGCAGTGCTGGGGGCAGCTGACATGAATGGGGCAGGCAGCGTGGAGTAGGGTTGGCTGATGCTATACCAAGTCGCTGGGAACTTACCGGAGTTTTCAGGTGTGGAGGGGAGGAGGATCTAGGGGAGTCATAGGATGCACAGAAAACCAGGAGCTTCCTTGGGAGACGAGTCTAGTTTGCTGTGGGAAGCAGAAAACCAGGAGCTCGCCAGAGCCTCCAGACTGGCCCCAGCTTGCAGAAACTTCCATGTCAGTGTTATCCTCACGCTGGGCAGGCTGCGGCTGGAGCCAGGATGCATTTCTGGAAGATCTCCATGGTAGCTTGAGAGGAACCTTGGGTCTCAACATGGCACCCCACCATGCAGTTTATCAGGTTTTATTTTTTTCCTTTTGGGTCACACTCCAGGGGTTACTCCTGGTTCTGCACTCAGGTATCACCCTGGCAGACCACATGGGATGCCGGCAAACACCCTACCCACTGTATTGTCGCTCCGTCCCCAGTTTATTAACCCTTTTCCAGAAACACCAACGAGGGCCGGAGAGATAGTACAGTGGATAGGGCGTTTGCCTTGCACATGGCCAACCCAGGATTCGATCGTTGGCATCCCATATGGTCCCCCAAGCACCGCTAGGAATAATTCCTGGGTGCAGAACCAGGAGTAACCCCTGAGCTTCGCTGGGTGTGGCCCAAAAAACAAGCAAACAAGAACTAGAAACACCAATGAATGGGAGTGGTATGACTTGGTTTGGGTATTTTAAAAAAATTTTGTTGTTGTTGTTGTTGTTGGTTTTTGGACTGCCCCCAGCAATTCTCAGGAGTTGCTCATGGCTGTGCACTCAGGGATCACTCCTGGTGGTGCTCAGGGGCCCCTAGGGTGTCCTGGGTCGGATCAAGCCTGAGTTGGTCATGCTCTCTTATCTCCCGGGCCCCTTGCCCTGTTCCTCCTGCCGTTAAGGTCATCAGGAAAGCAATCTGGTGTGTTTGATGGAGATAGAATGAGAGCAAAGGAAGCTTGGAATTGTTTGAATTTTTCCATGCCTTTTATTATTTACATATTTTAATTACCTGGTTTTTTCATAGGCGCATTCCCCACCATACACCTTAGCAGATCAGGGGGACCCAGATCAGGGCCGCTCCTGGTGCTTCAGTGCCCGTGCTCGGCAGTGCTGGGGTCAGACGTGAGGCCTCACACGTGCCTGAGCGCTCCCCCGCTCAGGGCCTTACATTTTATTTTGATTTTGGGCTACACCTGGTGATGCTTGGGGCTGACTCCTGGCAGGGCAGGGAGAACCATATGGGATGCTGGGAGGATCAGATCCGGGTCAGCCACATGCAAGGCAAACCCCTGCCCAGATATACTGTCACTCCAGACCTTAATTTTTTTTTTTTTTCTGTGACAACTGACTATGCTCAGGACTTACTTCTCCTCTGCGCACAGGGATCACTCCTGGTGGGCTCCCGGGGCCATATGGGAAGCCAGGGATGGAACCCAGGTTGGTTGTGTGCCAGGTTGGTCGGTGCAAATACCCTACCCACTGTACTGCTGATACAGCCCCTTAAATTTTATTTCTAATTATATAAGTACTGTTGGAATATATTCTCATTCTCTCCTCCCCCCTCTCTGTCTGTCTGTCTGTCTGTCTCTCTCGTTTTTGAGTCCTACCCGGCGATGCTCATGGTTTTCTCCTGGCTCTGCACTCAGGGATCACTCCTGGTGGAGCTCAGGGGACCATATAGGATGCTGGAGAATTGAGCCCAAGTCAGCAATTGGGGTCAGGCAAGTGCCTAACCCGTTCTACTATCTCTGTCCTAGTGCTCAGGGATCGCTCCTGGTGAGGCTCAGGCCATTCTTTGTGGTGCTGGGGATTGGAACCTGGTTGGTTGTGAGCAAGACCGTGGCCCTACCCTGCCTGCCTGTCTCTCCCTCAGAAACAGACTCTCACCATCTGTTCTCATACCTGTTCTGTGCTGGGCACTGCCCTGGGAAAGCTCAGCTGGGTCCAGCGTGGCTTGAATGAGTTTCCTGGTCAGGGTGGCACCATCGCTGGGCGCGCACCTGTTCTGAAATAAACGTTCTTGGGCCTCTTGCCAGTGTGAGTGTCCAAGGTTCACTCTTGAATAATGTGATTTTAAATTTGGTTTGTATTTTTGCTTGGGGTGGGGGTTTCTCCAATCTTCTAGGAGGCCACTAGCGCTACACGTGTTGGTGCCTGAGGTGAGCTCTCTTTGCCACTGTGTGTGCCAGGCACGTGCTCCAGCACTTAGAGCTGCCTCAACTCAGAGGCCATCTCTGAAAGAAAAGGGAATTGGGACAGGACTCGGCATCAGTTCTGGTTCCCTGGAGAAGGAAGGGGCGGTGCCAGCAGAGGTTTTCATTTTCTTTTTCTTTTTGGGGGGGATGTGTGGCACATCTGGTTTGTTTAGGGGCTAGCCTGGCTCTGCACTCAGAAATCACTCTTGGTGGGACTCGGGGAACCCATACGGGGTGCTGAGGACTGAATGAACTCCGGTCAGCTGCATGCAAGGCCAGTGTCCTCTCAGCTTTCCTGTCACTCTGGCCCCTGTCATTTTCATTTGTTTAGCAAATGGCACTCAGTAATTTTTTTTTTTCTTTTCACACCCGGCAATGCACAGGGGTTACTCCTGGCTCTGCACTCAGAAATTA